CTTACAAAATTCACATATCTAAGCGTGAGTGTTCTCCGTGCCTTTCATTTTCTGAAATTATTTTTTAAAGGCTGCGTAATATTTAATCATATGGATGTAAATTTATTTATTTATTTGGCTGCGTTGGGTGTTCGTTGCTGTGCGCGGGCTTTCTCTAATTGTGGCGAGGGGGTGCGCGGGCTTCTCATTGTGGTGGCTTCTCTTGTTGCGGAGCACGGGCTGTATGTGTGAGGGCTTCCGTAGTTGTGGCTCGTGGGCTCTAGAGCTCAGGCTCAGTAGTTGTGGTTCGCGGGCTCTAGAGCGCAGGCTCAGTAGTTGTGGCTCACGGGCTTAGTTGCTCTGCGGCATGTGGGATCTTCCCAGACCAGGGCTCGAACCTGTGTCCCCTGCATTGGCAGGTGGATTCTTAACCACTGCGCCACCAGGGAAGCCCCTGGATGTAAATTTATTTACGTACTTAAATACTAATCTTGCTGGATATTTATGTCATTTTTTTTCTTTTTCGGCCGTGCTGCACGGCTTGCGGGATCTTAGTTTACCAGGGATTGAACCCACACCCTCAGCGGTGAAAGCTCGAAGTCCTGACCCCTGGACTGCCAGGGAATTCCCTATTTTTGTCCTTCTAAAGCTAAGATGAACCTTCTTGCACACAAACCTTTGTATCGCTGGCTATATTCTTAGGATAGATTCCTCCCAGCGGGATTAGTGGGTCCAAAGGTACAGATGTAATAAAAGTCTGTTACATGCACCTAATTGCTGCTGAGACACTTGCACCGATTTGCACTTGCTGGTTGGGGATGAGATTGCTCGCCTGTGACATGTGAGCGTTGCTCGTAAGGGCATTTGTCTACCTGTAGTTGCAGTGCGCTGATCGCTTGTCACGGAAGAATCCATCTGTAGGTGGAGTGTCTATTTAGAGGGGGAGGCAGCCCCCAGATTCCAGGGACGGGGATGTGGAGACCGTGGGGCTCCCTGGACCTGGACCCTGGGCGTGGTCAGCAGTGCAGCTTTGCGTGCTGCACTCGGGGTGCGGACAGGGGGGCCGAGCACGGACCCTGCCCCCGGATTCAAGGCCGCCCAGGGGAGCTTCTCTGCGGGACCTCGTGGGCATGTGTCGCCTCCACGTGTCCTCACAGCGCCGTGTGTTGGCACTTGAGCCTGTGTAATGGCCTTCATGGCTGGCCGGCACGTGCAATGGTCATAGCAGCCGCTAACATCTCACTGAATCCTGGCTGTTTTTCCAGCACACTTAGCTACTTTAAATGCTTTTCATTTAATTCTCACAAAACCCTACGAGCTAGGTGCAGTGGAGGAAGCTGAACGTTGCCAGACGAAGTTTTGGCCACGGTGGCATGGTCAGCAGGCTGCGGCCGCAGCTGCGGAGCCGGAGCCGTGCACGAGATGGGGTCGAGGGGCTCCCGGCTGAGGGCACAGCTGGGGCAAAGGCCTCCCGGCCATCGGTCCCACCCCCGGTGGCCGCAGTGGATGGAGCGGAGGGGAGCCGTGGGGGTTGTCAGGGCCGTGACAGGAGCCAGACCCCGTGGGCCGTAGGAGAGGCTGGCTGTGAAGGTGAAACGGGAGGTGAGCTGGCCGGCAAGCACGTCGGGCGTCGTTTAGAAATAGAGCCGGCTGCTTGCAGGAAAAGGGACTTTGAGCCTAATGGGAAACATCCGTCCAGGTTGAGCTGGGCTCTGTCATTGGAGAGCATCTTCTCAGCGCCTTCCCAGCAGCAGCAGAAGGCGACACTGGGAACCGAGCGAGTCTTTATTCTCGTGTCCACCAAGCTGCTGACTGGGCCCTGCTTGTGAGCCTGAGTCAGAGAGCACTTGAGCTGAACTGCATAGGTCACATGGGGCAAATTAACTTGACCAGAAATAACCCCAAACAGCATTTCTGGGAAATGCAAGTGAAGACAGCTTTCAATGTAAACAAAGGAGCAAAGGAAAGATAAAGGCTTGGTTGGAAAAAGTGAACATTTGGAAGAGTAGGAGGAAATGCTTTGCGGAAAAAGTACCAAGGAAAACAAATTTTTTTTTTCCAGTAGTTACAGTTTTAAAGAGTTTTCTTTCATGTATTTATGTCAGATGCAGTGCATACATTTCGATGGGGAACTCACAGATTTTTCCCTTTCTGTTCGTAGCCACGGCACATTGACCTACACCCTGTAGCTTTTCCTGTGAATCCAGGGAAGGAGCTCGCTGTTCTCCTCTGGGGACAGTCAGACATCTGGACGTGGGGCCCTGGGAGCTTCACGCACAAAACAAAAGAACCACCCCAGTGTCCCGGCCGCAGTCCAGAAGTCCTGGTTGGCTTGGCGGGGTGTCGGCCTGCATTCTTTTAGTGCCCTGGGGTTCCCCGTGCAGTCAGGGCTGAGAACCCCGTGTGGGTCTGCTTCCCCTGCTTCACAAGCTGCGTTCTCCAACCACAGTGTTAACCAGAGGGACTGGAGGGCACTTGGTCCACTCTTGCATCCACCTCCCCACAGGCTGAGTCTGGAGGATGGCGTTCTGCTCTTGCCGTTTGGGCTGTTGCAGGGTGCGCAGGGGCATGTGTGTCTCTGCTTGGGGCGGAGAGGTTCCTCACTGGCCAGCAGGCCCAGTGTTTCCGTTGTCGGTTGTTGAGACAGCTCAGCCTCTCTCTTCTTAGGACCAGGACCTAGAATTACTTGCCGGGGCAGCTAAGAGAACACAGGGGTTCCTAGGAGTCAGGTCAGATGCGGGGAGTCTGCTGCCATTATGTTCAGTGTGTAGCTGAAAATAGTAACCTCCTGAGTTGTTTCCCAAAGTAATAATTTACTGTTTGGAATTTAAAATCTTGCTCTTTGAGTAATTACTTGTACCTGTTAGTGCTATTATCTTATTTAATAGGAGAGAAGTTCATTTCTGGAATACTCTGACCATTGGATGATGAAAGAAACTTTGCCACACCTAAGGAAATAATCCAATTTAGTTAAATTATAAATATAAGTAACTGAAAAATGTAGCTGTCTTGATAACATCTTGGTAAATGTTATCAAATGAATTGACCTTTTGGAGGAATACTGGGTGGGGAGGAGTTCTTTCCTCGAGCTACATAAACTTGCAGACTAACCAGACCTGCGGTGAGTTGCTGTCCTTGCGTGGGGTCCTTGCGTGTCCCCGTGCACAGCAGGAGGCCTTCCTGGCCAGAGGCTGGCAGGTAGAGCAGGCGGAGCTTGTTGTGGGCAGCCTGTGGTGTCGCTGCGGCTCCGTCTGTGAAGGGTTGGGTGTCCTGTCTCCGAGATGGCATGTACCATCCTGCCCTGCAGGAGTGGTGCCACCTCCGCCTGCTCCACGCCCTCTGCCTCTGCCTGATGCCCCGGGCCCGGGCTTTACACAGCAGGGCATGGGGCTGTGCTGCCGCCCACCTGCTGTCCAGGTAACAAGGAGAACCAGGGACAGTGAAGGCCAGAGAGCTTCCTGACACGGGTCAGGGTTGGGACCAGAAGGCATGCTCCACTTTTTCCCAGATCTTCTCCTTTGTTGTGTATGTAGCATGGTGTTTCTCCACCTTTTTATTTAAAATTCATTCGTTCATTCATTCATTTTTGGCTGCGTTGGGTCTTCGTTGCTGGGCGTGGGCTTTCTCTAGTTGCGGCGAGCGGAGGCTACTCCTTCGTTGCGGCGAGCGGAGGCTACTCCTTCGTTGCGGCGCGCGGCCTTCTCATTGCGGTGGCTTTTCTTGTTGTGGAGCACGGGCTCTAGCACACGGGCTTCAGTAGTTGTGGCACGTGGGCTCAGTAGTTGTGGCTCACGGGCTCTAGAGCGCAGGCTCAGTAGTTGTGGCGCACGGGCTTAGTTGCTCCACGGCATGTGGGATCTTCCCGGACCAGGGCTTGAACCCGTGTCCCCTGCATTGGCAGGCGGATTCTTAACCACTGCGCCACCAGGGAAGCCCCTCTCCACCTTTTAAAACTCACCTCTCTTGATAAACTTTAAAATTTTAATTTTTCTCTACGGTCCTTTGAAATTTTGATGTACATTAAATTGTGAATATGAAGACGTTAAAGCATTGGTCATTTTTATTCTTCTAAATCCTACAAGTAGTAAATATATTTGGCTATAAAATTTTCAAATACTGGTCATTATTATGGGGAAAAAAAGAAAGTTATTGCACCCTCCCCACCCTGCCCAAGAAAGCCTCCTCTCATGTCTTGAAATCACTTACGGTTACGAGTTTGCCGTATCCTTCCGGGCCCTGACTGTTTATTTACACATGGACACGTTCACTGTAACCCTAAGACGGGAGGGGCAGGGAACACTCCTTCTGGCTTGTTTTGGACACTTGGTCTAGGTGAGCTTTCCTTATCGTGCAGAGTGGGGATCTGTGGGCAGCAGGCCTTTGTTTACTGGGCCTCTGTCAGTAGCTGTTTAAGGTGTTTTCAGTATCTTACTACTACAAATGCTGCAGTGAGCGTCCCGCCCCACATCTTGCTCACGTGTAAGTACTTCGTATGACAGACTCCCGGAAATGGAACGGTAATTTTAGAATCTGCTTTCTAGAAATGTGCCCCCCAGAATAGATCAAGTTGTATTCTGTTCTTTACTGGGTTTTTTGTAGAGCGTTTTATTATTTTTTTTTTCAAGATTTATAGAAGGACTGTATTAAGTCCTGCTGTGTAATTAATTTTATAGGAAACTCTATGATTTGAAGAAATAAAAAATCAGGTTTTGCCTCACATAGAGGTATATGATTCCTGATGGCTTGGTTAACAGTTTCTATCCAGCGAGTGAACCACTGGCACAAGACATGAACTTCCACGTTTGCTCAAACTGGGGATGTTTTTAAATTTCAGTGGTGAGGAGCGGGTTGGTGAAGTTTTTGTCTTTTGCTGGACGTGCTTTCTAGTTGCACTAGTAATACACATTTTATAGAAAAGTTTGAAGATACAATAAACTTAAATGTCTTTTAAATAAAAATGGAAATCATTCCATATGAACTACATGGAAGAAAATAAGATGTTTCTATTTTTGTCCCCTGAGGTCACTCCCAGGACGGAGACCCCCGTCAGCAGTGTCGGTAACAGTTTGGAGAACGCCCTGCACACATCCGCGCATTCCACTGAGGAGTCGCTGCCCAAGAGGCCTGGAGGGAAGCACTCCAGAGGTGAGCGCTTGGTCTGCAGGGTCAGAGGGGAGCAGCATCGGATGTAGGGGGAGACGTTCGCAGTGGCGTTTGGTTAAATGCTCTCAGATCTTTGGGGATGCTAGTCTTAGTAAGATGTACTGTTTTTCTAAATTCTGCAAGTTACACACGAGTGGATCTCGGCTGTAAACATCTCACATCTTGATGTTTATTAAGGGGGAAAAAGTGAAAGTTGTTGTGCCTCTCCCCGCCCCACACCGCAGTGGGTCCTGAATTGTAGGGCAGCGCCGTCCTGTAGCGCTCTGTGTAGTAACGGTATGTTCTCTCTGCACTGAGGCAGTTGCCACCAGCCACACGTTCCTTCCGAGCCTGGAAAATGTGGCTCATGCGAGTAAGGGCCTGAACTTTTAGATTTATTTCATGCGGTTGCACTAGCTCAGTGTGGACAGTGCACCTCTGGAGACGGCAGGGCACATCTGGGAGGAGGCCGAGCTCCCTGGTTCTTGAAGGTCTGGCTTTGTGCAGCCACACTAGACAGAGTCGGGCTGGCTGTCCCCCGGCCAGCTGTGCGGGGTTTGGGGTCTCGCTGGGGAGAGACAGGGCTCTCTGGGCCTCCTGGTCTAGAGCCGGGCGCGGGTGCCTGGAAACGCGCTCGGTGTGTGTGGGGGGAAGATCGCGCTCCTAGCAGCCCTGGGAGCGCATGGTCGGCTCACCTCTGGCTCAGCTGTAGGGTCAGTCTTTCTGAAGACACAGCAGGACCTCCGTTTCCGGGTGGGTGGTTGTCACTCACTCGCTCCGAGGGACTTCTTCCTTGCATGTGTCGCCCAGGGAGGAGCGCCTCCCGATGGGGCGTTGCTTCCTTTGTCCCCAGCCCGTCCCCGCACCTTTGGAGCCTGTGTCCTACACCCTCGCAGTCTTAAGGGGAAGGCCTTTCCTTCACCATTGTGCTTTTTCCTGTAGGCACAATTATCAAGACCCCCTCGTTCCTGTTTTTTGATATAATTGCCAGTTGAACGGCTGTGTCTGTCACTCTCTTGCCGATGTGCCTGGGTGCGGGAAGGCAGATCTGTGGTAGGACCGTTATTGTCTGCTCTCAGACATCATAATGCTTAGAGAATAGGCAGAGCTTGCTAATTATCTGTGGTATTCTCCAGCCAGTGGTCATGGGGATGATGGTCTCCTCCGCCCAGAAATCGACCAGCAGGTAAACCTGGTTTTGTCGTTCGCACTTTCCCCGGTGCCCTGTTACTGCTCTTCGGAAAGTCTGAAGCCACTCTGAGTGTTATTAAAGTTTTCTTGCTGTCTTTTCTGTATCCCACTTCTGTTGTGGGTTGTCTCTGCTTCTTAGAAGTTTTCAGTGACACAATTTAGCTTGTAAAGAGGTCAGATTTTTGTATTTCTTCAGTACTGAAGCTCAGGGGACAGCAGTAAGGACAATCTGAAACCCTGACTGCTCTTGTCAGGTGGTGTCCAAGCTCGTTACATACATTAACTCATCTGATCTTCCTAAGAACCTGTGGGGCTCAGGTATAAGCTGGTTCGTTCTAACAACAGTCCCCATTTCACAGACAGGAGAACTGAGTCACAGATAAGCAGTGTTCCTAAGATAAGCTGGGATCCCAACACTTGTGTTAGAAGAGAGTAGAAAAGGAAACTCAAGTACACATGAAGTGAAAGCATTACCTTTTTCTCTGTACTATTGATTGTGAAGATTTTCAGGTACAGCCTTCCTCGGGAAGCCGCTTGGAGTTTGTGGAAGCCCGCCAGGTGATGCCGCAGTCCCACAGAGCACGTTTTGTTCAGGGATTAAATAACTGCACCCAAGGTCGCAGAGCTGGAAAGTGTCACGTTTCAGACCGCCTGTCTGACTGCAGAGCCCCTTGGCTTCCCTGGCCCTGCCGAGTGGGTTGTGGGTCTGTCCTGTCTGCCCTGGCCTCCTGTCACCCGTCTCCGCCACGGCACAGCTTCGTCCAGCACAGGTGCTGTCATCCCTGGGCCTTGACCACTGTGTCGCTCTGCCCGCTGGGCCCTTCCCTTTGAGGTCTAGCCCCACAGCACTGCTGTGAACTGTGTCCTTTTTCCATCACTTACGGCTGCTCCTGTGCCTCGTGTGTACTAAGGCTGAATAAAACGTTTGCCTTAATACATAAACAAGTGAATTCCTCAGGCCCCTAGATTCAAGTGCCATATCACTAACCATTCCAATGGAATGTGTGTTCATTTCCTACTTTTGCTACTTTAGAAATATGTTCTATCAGCTTTATGTTTTCTGGATCATGTACTGCTCTTGTTTCTATATTTCTGGAGAACTAACAAATCAAATTAATGCAAGGTAGCTAGATGATAAAAAAATCAAAGAAAAATAAATTACAGAGTTCTTAAATATAACGTGACCTAAAAAGATGTAGGAAAGAGGATCAGTTTAATCAGCATAGTAGTGTATGTTTGAATTTTAAGGACAATTAAAAGAAGCAGTGTTTTTAAAAAATTATTCCCATCAATACAGACAACTAAATGAAAGTGAGAAAGTAACTTGATATTTTAGGAACGTCATTATTCACCTGAGACTTTTAAGAATACAGGTTTTCAAGTTTTAGATGAAAACTAGATTTCAGTAATAACGATTGTAAAGCTGGAGGCATCTCAAACATTAGTCTGGTTTAGTGTCTTTAAGTATGAAGACACTGAGTACTGTTGTATAGAACTCGAGAGAAGACGGTGTTGTGCTGGAACATGACTGTTTCCATCTTTGCCTTTCCTCGTGAATAATACCCTCTTTACTGTGCTTTCTTTTGGCACAGTTTTGGTAATTTTTGGTTTCTTGTTATTGAGTGTACAGAATTAAGCTATTTCATAAAGATACTTTGAAATCAAGTAAAACACATAATTGGCAGAAAACTACCAACCACTCGGTTTTTTCCAGAAGGCTTTAGGGAAAATGTTCCAAAAGGGGGCCGCATTCTTGGGACATATTAAAGCCATCATCTCTAGGTGTCGTGTTCTCTCGGTGTGAGGTGGCCGGCCATCAGCTCCTGTAGATCGTTTGAAGGCCCTTGGTGGCCCTTAGGCTGTGGCGGTTTTAGCAGGAGCTCCCCGGGCTGAGGTCCGGGGAGTGGTTTTCTGGTCCATCTGTGACTCCGCCAGACCCCGCTCAGGCCTTTGGGGATGCTTGCCTGGGCTGTTACTGCGGGGCCTTTTACAGTCTCTTCTGCGCACATCTCCCTCCCTCCCTCCTTTTTCAGTTACGTTAGTGTTCTGGTTTTTAAATTAGGCATTGATCCAATTATAAAAATGGTAGTTCAGTGCAATTACACATCTTAGTGAAGGCGGTGTGCTCTAACTTGTAAGATTTGAGGAGAATTCCTAGTGTACGTCGTGAATAAGGAAAGAAGAAAGGTTTGAACACACGAAATGTTAAAAGCAGACAGCACACCACCTTGCTCTTTGCATCTCTACGTGAGAGCAGGCTGGTGGCCTCGAGTCCCGGGTTCCCAGCCCTGGGTGCCCTGCCCTGAGCCTCTGCACAGTCTGGAGCCCAGCGAGGCTCACGTCCTTCCCAGCCCCCTAGCGTTCTTCCCATCGCGCCCGTTCGGGCTCGGGGTCTTTCCAGTTGGTGCTAATCCTGTCTTCGGATGTGTTCTCTCCCTGCAGGTGATGGTTTGGTATCTAGCCCCTCAAGTTGACACAAGTTTGCTGGCCCTTTTCAGAAAGTACTGAGACTTCGTGTGTGACAGATGACACAGTCTGCAGGGCTCACGAGGGTGGTGGGAGGGAGGGAGGCCTCATTATCTACCAGTAGACTTTAAGTGGGTCGTCAACAAATTTATATGCGTGTAGGTAAACACTCTAAAATTATGAAACCGCATTACAGAAATTTGGCAGGGAAACTACCCATAATTCCACAACCAAACACAATTAACCGTATCATTTTTTTTTTTTTTTTTTTTTCAGTACGTGGGCCTCTCACTGTTGTGGCCTCTCCCATTGCGGAGCACAGGCTCCGGACACGCAGGCCCAGTGGCCATGGCTCACGGGCCCAGCCGCTCCGCGGCATGTGGGATCCTCCCGGACCGGGGCACGCACCCGCGTCCCCTGCATCGGCAGGCGGACTCTCAACCACTGCGCCACCAGGGAAGCCCAACCCTATCATTTTTGATAATTTATTTTTAGTCTTTCTTTAACATTTTAAACAACTATAATCATGTTATACATACAGTTTATAATTTTTCAGGTAATATTATAAGCATTTTTCATGTTTTTATTTTTATAAACATAGTCTTTAATAGTTCCAAAATCGAGAGTATGCTTACACACCTTTGAAGCCCGCCCAGTTCAGCACCCCCAGCCGCCCCTTGTGTTAGCCACCGTCGCCAGTCCCATCTGCTACAGAAGTCCGTCTGCACGATCTCTCCCACCCCCCCCTCACCCCCGCCCCAGCAGGCCGTCCTCCCACCCTCAGAGCCGCGAGTGGCCACACAGTGGGCGCGGCACCAAGAGAAAAGCAGCAGAACTCGTCGGCAGGCCGTGTGTCTGGTCCGGAGCCATCCTGGCAGTGCCGGGGCCGCTGCAGCTGCCTGCAGAGGGCCGATGGCGCGGACACAGAACACCGAGTCAGGTGGGCTGGTGATTTTGAAGAGGTCTCACAAACATTTCAGTCCTGTGGTCCAAAATGCCTCTCTTATTTGAAAACAGCTGAGTAACATTCATCTCCTTTTCACATTTTCCTGTCCAGTTATGAGTCACTTCCCGCTTTCAGTCCAGTTGGGGTTTTTTTCTTTTTTTTTCATAAATCCTCATACTCAGTCCTGGAACTTTGAGGTACACGTTGGTGTTCTGTGGCCTGGGAAAATGCCGAATAACATTTTTCTGTATTCATTGACTTTGTATATTCTGTTGTGTAAAAAAGTAAAGGACCTGGATTAGGGTGAGGTCATTGTGGTAAGTTTTTAAAAATAGTGATTGGGAAAACATAAGAGCCGTTTATTTGCCGACAGTCTGACTGGGGAGGTCAGACGGGAACAGCGAGTAGTTTTGCTGAGTGAGGTCGGGCAGTGCACAGCTGCTAAATGTAGTGTTTTCTTTGTTTTGCCAGAAAGGAAGAAAACATTCTTATTTTTTTTTTAGAGTAATTCCTTCCTGTGAGCTATTTTAAGCTAAAAATACTCTAAACCAAATGGGTTCTAGTGTCTCCCAAGATCCATATCAACCCCGATGCGACTTTATAAAATTAGGGAGACTCATGAGGAAAGTTCAGGGCGTGAAAGCGCTTTTCCCCAACAGGCCGTAACCTCTGTGAGTGCGAGAACCCATGGACGGTGCTGATCGCTGTGTGCCCAGCCCTTGGAACACGGCCCGGGACACAGCAGGAGCTTTGTAAGACGAGTTGGTGAATGAACAGTTGTTGGTTTAGGGCAGGGATTGGCACCCTTTTTTCTGCAAAGATCCAGAAAGTCAGTATTTCTGGCTCTGGGAAGCGTGCGGAGTCTGGCACCGCCGCCGGGCTCTGCCGTCGCTGGGTGGAGAGCACCCATTGACGGTACGTCGGCCCACGGCGTGGCTGTGTGCCCCGGAGCCTGTTTACACAGACAGACAGGCCGAGGGCAGCCTGCAGCCTGCCTGCCCCTCGCTTAGAACAGTGCCGCCCAGTAGAGCTCCCTGGGATGGCCGGGCTTCTGTGTCTGCTGCAGTATGGCAGCTGCTAGCCCCGTGTGGGAATGCCTAAAATGCGGTTAGTGCAACCGAGGGGTGAGATTTTTAATTTTACTCAATTGTAATTAGTACCAACTTAAGTGGTCCCGTGTGGTCGGTGGCTGCAGCAGTGGGCAGTGCAGGGTTAGAACTTTCCCCGAAGCCCGGTGCACAGAGCTGCTCGTTGCTCTCTGGGGTGCTCAGACGTGTTAGGGGAGGAGAGAGTTCTGTGGCCGAAGAAACTGAGGAATTGTGGTTTAAAAATGTAGATTTATTTGTTGCAGGACTTCTCAGAGCCTTTAATATGCTAATGTACATGGGCAGCCTACAAAAAGGAGTTTCTCAGATTTTCCCTCCAAACTTTTGAGCACAAAGCTTTCTGGGGGTGGTCCGGAGAAAACCATGGAAGGTATGGCCGACCAGGAGATGGGGCGTCTGCAGAAAGTGTAACTTAATAGCTTTAATAAGTTATGTTGAGTGTGTCATGCTAGACAGGTTTTGAAGCTTTGTAGAAATCCCCATAGTGCACAGCCAAGGGATCTCTGGAAATGTTGGTGAAAAATAGTGCAAGAAGGTGCGTGTTCTGTTCAGAAAGTAAAGCCTCCCTCATTCGCCAGGGTCTTTGCATAAGAGCTGACTGCCCGTGTGCCTGCCCAAGGTTCATAAGCTTGAAGAATCAGTTAAATCGGTACTTGAGAAACTTTAGTATTTGAATCAGAAATAGGACATACGTACCTTAATGTGGTTTGGGAGTTTGGAAACTACATCATGTTTGATAAGTGCTGTTTTATTTTCAACAAATATTTGTGCTCAAATATTTGCATCTTAAAGCTTAAGGGCTTAGAAGCTTAATTGTATCGTTTTCATTTTTGAGGAGAAAAAAAATGCACCCTTGCATGTGAAAAGGGAGGTATGCAGAGGTGATGGCTTTGGAACTCTAACGGTGACGACCTTTTCTCATCCCTGTCCACCTGTGCAACTGCGGCCTCTGCCCGTCCTTGCTCTGTTTTGCAGAGGCAGTGCTGGGGGTCTGCAGGGTCTCCTCCGCAGCTGCTCTCCTCACACCTCCAGCCTGGCTTTGTCCTAGAAGGAGGAGATGAGGAGATGCCAGTGAGAGGTTCTGGGCAGCTGTGTCTCTAAATAATCACAGTGGAAAACGTTGAGCATTAGTTTTTCAGAAATGAGAACAGATCATAACTAATCTTCAGTTATAATTATGGTCTGTGCCCTTGTGCATTTTCAAGCACCGATCTCTTTCTTTTCTATGATTTGTTTTTATTTTTTGCCTGCTTTTTCTGTGTCACTTTCAACTTCGCCCTCCATTCCCGCGCGAGCAGCCTCCTCGTTCCTGGCGAGCTCACCCACCACAGAGGAGACGGGGCCGGGTGCTGGGAGCCGTACTTGTGAAAAGTTGCTAATGTATCGATGCAAACTAATCATATGTACTTCAAGCTCTTACTTCATTTTTATAATTTTGTTTGTTGTTGTTTTGTTTTGTTTTGTTTACCTTTACAGTGAGTGTTGAAAAGATAGACCTGAAGGGATTATCACACAAAAAAAATGAAAGAAATGTTGAATGTTCCTTTGAGGTAAGATGCTAAGTTTTTTTTTCCTTTTCTCCTCTAAGGGATAGGAAGGAAACATTTACCATGAAGTGGTACTTTTATGTCTCAAAATAAAAGGCGAGTCTTTTGCAAAGCACTGTGCCACTGCTGCGGGAGACAGAAGTGGGGACTGGGCCCTGTGGGTGGACCGTCTCCACGGTGGGCTTGTTGGGCCTGGGGGGCTGCTCCCCCTGGACCTCAGCAGGCTCCATGAGGGGGAGGGGCTGGGCTCGGCCACAGCCTGGAGTGCGCAGTCCTGTTGTGTTCCTGTTCGCCGTGTGACCGAGGACAATGCTGGACTTCTCTGTGCCCCAGCACCTCCATTCAGTCGAACAGGATAGAGTTTGGGGGAGAATTAAATGAGACAGTTCATTCAAAGCACTCAGTACAGGGTCTGGATATAGTAAGTGGCTGCAAAGATGAGCTGTTGTTCTTCTGTACCTCCTGGGTGACAGAAACTCCTTGGTGTGTGTGTGGGGGGAACATTCTCTAGACTGACATGCTCAGCTGCTGGTGGCTGGTCACCAGAGTTGGCTAACGTAGAGAATTGTGAAAATTGAGGCATACTGTTTATTAGAATCTCAGATCTACGATAACAGTGGCTTAAACAACATCGGAGTGTACAAGGAGTCGGCCCTGGGGCTGGAATGGCATCTGTGCTCCATAAAATACGTAGGGAGCCAGGTTCCCTCCAGCTGACTGCTTTGACATCTCTAGGAGGTGGCCCTTAGCCTCATGGTCCAAGATGGCAGCTAGGACTCCAGCCCTCACGTTTTCATTCCAGGCAACAGGACATGGGATGAAGAGGAGAGTGAAAGGTTACTTTTACCTCTTTTTCATGGAGCATTCTTAAAAACAGCCACTAGAGGGACTTCCCTGGCAGTCCAATGGTTAGGGCTCCTCGCTTCCACTGCCAGGAGCACGGGTTCGATCCCTGGTCGGGGAACTAAGATCCCAAGTGCTGCGAGGCGTGGCAAAAAAAAGCCACTAGACACTTCCACTTATGTCTTACTGGCCAGACTGAGTTTCCTGGTCCCGCTTAGCCGCGTGTGCGTGGCTGGCTGTGTCACCAGGGTTCTGTTACTACCCCATTGTTGTGCGAGGTTCTCCTTTGACCACATGCATCGTAGGAAACTGATTGATTTGGGAAGTCCTGCATTGTGCAAATCACTGGGCAAATCACTTGTTACTCCATAGATGTATGGGAAAGGCTTCCCTTCGGTTTTGGAGGTTGTCAGAGCTTGCGACCAGCAGCCAAGTGTCAGCAACCAGAGAACCTCAGGACCCCAGCATCTTCAAGGCCTGCTGGGGTTGGGGAGCCCAGAGAGTCCCTGAAACGCCGGGTGTGTGGCTCCTCTCCTCTGCAGTCAGCCTCTGGCTGGCGGATATCGCCTGAGGGGCTGGTGGCGGGCGTGGTCCCCGTGCACAGGGCCTGCGTGCGTGGGAACTGCTGAGCGTCAAGCCCTTCAGATCCCACTCACAGCCCTTCAGATCCCACTCACAGCCCGTCTGATCAAACTGGGCTTGGACTCGGCCCCAGTCCACAGCCTCTCTGCAAAGAAATGAGCTTTGGCAGGGTAGACACTTGGCCTCTCCTGGCCTTTCCCCAGAGGAGGGCCTTGTGATCAGGGTGGGGAGGCGGCGGGCTGGCAGGATAGGGCGCCGGTGAGTCTTCTGAAAGCAGAGCGGACAGCTGGGTTGAAGTTCAGTTTAAGACGCTTCTAACCCCAAATGGTTAAGCTGAATGAAGTGTTTTGGTACTTAAAGAAAAAGGTTTGGTTATGGGAAAAGCTTGCTTTTCCTGACGCGATAACTGATAAAAGGATTCTTGTGTTTAGGAAAGTGGTAATCCTTCACTAGCCAGCAGTCCGACTCATACTAACTTGATACGCCCTAAGGGATTTACTGCCCACACTACATTTGTTGATGGTAATTTGAGGCACAAAGGAAAGATACAAGGAAGATTTTAAAAAACACAACCATCTTCTTATTTATAAAGCACACCCGTTCATTCGCGCAGCCCACACTGTGTGCTTGTTCTCTGCAGGTGAGTTGCACTCTCCTAATGTGTGACATGCATGTGCTTAGGTCTGGGGCTCCTGTCACACTCGAGAAGTGAAGCGCCTCGGGCGTTTAACCGCGGTCTCTCTAGCTCGTTGTGGTCAGGACTACAGTTCTGTAAGAGGGAGAACCTGTGGACAGTGGGAGACCATCACTCCACGTACCTTTAAACTTACAAACTTTCTGTCATCTTACATGACCGCCCGGCAAAAGTAAGTCCCAGTAGCGTTTTTCTGTTTTAGAAATCAACAAGACGAGGGGCTTCTCTGGTGGCACAGTGGTTGAGAATCCGCCTGCCGATGCAGGGGACATGGGTTCGAGCCCTGGTCTGGGAAGATCCCACATTGCCGCGGAGCAACTGGGCCTGTGAGCCACAACTACTGAGCCTTCGCGTCTGGAGCCTGTGCTCCGCAACAAGAGAGGCCGCGACAGTGAGAGGCCCGCGCACCGCGATGAAGAGTGGTCCCCGCTTGCCGCAACTAGAGAAAGCCTTCTCACAGAAATGAAGACCCAACACAGCCAAAAATAAATAAATAAATTTAAAAGAAAAAAAAAATCAACAAGACGATTCTAAAATTTATACGGAGGGAATTCCCTGGTGGTCCAGTGGTTAGGACTCCGCTCTTACACTGCCGAGGGCGCGGGTTCAGTCCCTGGTCAGGGAGTTAAGATTCCTCAAGCCTCACAGCGCAGCCTGAGTAAATAAATAAATAGTAAATAAAATAAAATAAAGTTTATATGGAGAACACTATGGAGCAGTCCAAACAATTCTGAAACGAAGAAAACACTGGAAGACTCACGCACCTGTGTTAAAGGTGCTGCTAAGAGGGAGGAGACGCTGTGCCCCGGGGCAGTGGGGCCCGAGCTACACTCACATGTAAAGCACTCAGTTGGTTGTTTTGAAGACTTCAGGAGAATATCCTTGATGGCATTTTTAAAGATTAGACGGTTTTAAAATTTTCTAACTGACTTTCTTCTTTACGCCTCTGATGAGATAGATTTCACATAACATAAAATTCATCCATTTAAACTGTTCAGTGGCTTTTTTTAATTTATTCAGAATTTTGTAACCATCACCACGATTTAATTTTAATATTTCCACCATCCCAGGAGGAAGCCCCATACCCATTAGCAGTCATTCCCCACTTCTCCTCCCCAAGTCCCTGGCAAATACTAACCTACTTTCTGCCTCAGTGGATTTGCCTATGCTGAATATTTCACATAAATGGAATCATACGACATGTGATCTTTCGTGATTGGTTTCTTTCATGCAAATAATGTTTTCAAGGCTTCTCGATGTTATATCATGTATTAGTGCTTCCCTTTTTATGGCTGAGTGAAATTCCACCGTGTGGATGGACCACATTTAGTTCATCCACTCAGCAGTTAGTTGATGCACTTCTGGGTGGTTTCCACTTTTTGCCTCTTATGAGTAACGCTGCTGTGAACATTTATGTACAAGTTTCTGTGTGGACAAGTGCCTCCATTTCTCCTCGATACACACCTAGGACTGGAATTACTGGGTTGCAGAGATTTTCTTCCATTGGGTGGGAATTTTCTTCATCTTCTTGATGCTGTCCTTTGACACACACAAGTTTTTAATTTTGATAAAGTCCAGTTTACCTACTTCTTTCATTCCTTGTGCTTTTGGTATTACATATTTAAGAAATCGTTGCCTAAGCCAAGGTCGCAAAGATTCACTCCTGTGTTTTCTGATAAGAATTTTATTGTTTGTGCTTTTACATTTAGGTCTTTGATTCATTTTGAATTGATTTTTTGTGTATGGTGTGAGGTAGGGGTTCGAATGTGTCCTTTTGCATGTGGACGTCCTGTTGTCCAACACCATTTGTTTGTTTGTTTATTTTACAATTTTTTTAACATCTTTATTGGACAGCACCATTTGTTGAAAAGACCATTCTTTCCCCCACTGAAGGGTCTTCACACCATTGTTGAGAATCCGTTGAGCGAAATTGTGAGGGGTGGTTTCTGGACTCTCAGTTCCATTCATCTCTCTTGTTGTTAGGCCAGCACTGCTGTGTCTTGAGTACTGTGGCTTTGACGTTGGAATTGGGAAGTGTGAGTCCTCTTAGGTTTGGTCTTCTTTTTCGGGATTGTCTTGGCTGTTCTGGGGATGCTGCATTTCCATGTGAATTTTAGGAGCAGCTTGTCAGTTTTGGTGCCAGCACTGGCAGCAACTCAGGCTCCCGCTGCCCGCGGCTCCTTGCAGGGTGGCCCTGGGGTCGGCTCGGGGCCTGACGGTGGCGACTGCTCTATCCCGCGGGCCAGGCCGCGTCTGCTTCGGGCTAAGGGCCCCGGACGCCACACCACCCTGGTCAACTGATTATTGACAAAGGTATAAAGGCATTTCAGTGAAGAAAAGACGGTCTTTTCAGCAAATGGTTCAGGAGCAGATAACCATATGCCAAAAAAAGGAACCGTCATCAAACCTCACCCTTTATATAGAAATTAACTCAAAACTGATCACAGACCTAAATGTACAACGTAAAACCATAAAACTTCTAGAAGAAAGCATAGGAGAAAAGTTTGTGACTTAAACAGGCAAAGATTTCTTAGGTAGGATACCAAAAACATGAGCCATAAAAGACAAAATGAATTAAACTTCATCAGAGTTTAAAACTTGCTCTTTGACAGGCACTGTCGAGAAAATTAAGCCAAGCCGCAGAACTAGGAGAAAAACATTTGTAAATTGCATGTTTGATAGAGGATTTGTATTCAAACTATAAAAAGGACTCTCAAAACTCAATGATGAGAAAATAACCCAATAAAAAAAGTGAACATTTTACCAGGAAAGATGTATGGATGGCAAATAGCACTCGTGACAGATGTTCAGCATCGGTAGCCATTAGGAAAACACCGATTAAAACCACGGTGAGCTCATACTGCACGCCCGTCACAGTGGCTGA